CCGAGCACAGAATATTCTCTGGGACTAGGGAGAAAGTAGAATTTAAGAAAACAAAGAATAGTAATATTAGAAAATTCCCTCTCTCATAATCACGAGACCGTGTGATACACACAGGTGGATACTTGTCACAATATGAGGCGCACACCGTAGCGGCGTGCGATGTTAGGAACGTCCGGGAGCAGAACAAACAACGTTTGATGCCCGACCTATTTCATGTCAGCTTTTTCCGGAATCTCAAATTTGAACCAAACGAGCTAACACCATCCAGGTTAAGTAAGTGAAATAACAGCGGGAAACCCGTCGCACCAACACAACACGAAGCGCCAGAATGGCCCAAAGTCCAACATCTTACCGCGCCTGAGGAGACAGGTAAATACAGTGCGCGGGAGAATCCACGATGCCATTCATGCAAGAGGCAAACCCCGACTGGTTTGTCAATCCTACACAGAAGATTCGCTACCTGGTTATCTAAAGAATACTCGGAAAACCCACCATCTATCGAGACTCCTCTCCCCGCCGCCGGGCTCCTATACAATACAACTACCAAGATGGTGGGGGCGAGTCCTTGCCCAAAGTATTAGCGGACACCCCCGCGCTCCCCGAAATTCTCCAGCCGATGGTAACGGGAGACAATTGAAAACAGGTATGTACTAAAAGCCTCTACTCGGTATCCATTCCTTGAATGCAGTGCTCCCAATCACCCGGGGGGCAGGGAAGGCCCCACAGGGGGACTGCTTGGAGCCTTGGACAGAGTTTAAGGGCCATGTGCAGTCAGTCCGAGGCGGTGAAAGTGGAGCACAGCTGTCTTTAGGTAGGACAGAGGGCAGTACAGGGTTAAACAGAGTTGGTAATATGGACAGTGGGAGACCTCCGGGGTGGCTAGGGACTGCGGAGAATTAGAGGGCAATATATTCTACCACAAACAACCTCAAGAATAGTTGAAACATTGTGGTTAACAAGCTCCTTTAATCATCTGATTTCTGGCAGCAGGCCATGATCTCCTTTCCTGACCGTTCAAATATGACGCCCGACACACGCCCCCGATGTGTCAACAAGCCCAATGTGGAATCATCCCCAACGGATCGAATCTGGTGAATGGTGCCCCGAATAAACACCGGGAAACCTGGGTAGCCACCGAGGGATGAAGCACAATATAAAGGGGCAGGATGTGCCGTGCCAGGGTGCCCAGGCCCGATGGATCGTCCACCTTTTAGGAGCAATAGCTGTCGAGTGAGATGTTGTGACGACAAAGGGCAACTATGAATTCAACAACCTAGATGAAGCTTCAAGCATGTCTTTCACCAAATATCCAGCAGCCTTCGCCTACAACATGTCAGTGGGGGTTTTATTTTCTCGTTATTTCGGTCCTGCTAATTCCTTGGGAAATATTTCTTGGGGCCGTACTGTGGCGAGCTGTTGTAGCAATAGTGTTTCTGAGCAGTAGTTAGGGCTTTTGAGCACAAGGATAATGGTAGTAGGTTTGGTAGGATATAGGGCTTTTGAGAGGGGGCAAGGGACTGTGTTTCAGTTGATTTGTGGGGAGGGCACTGGGGAATAGAACTGCCGGGGCCCTTATTGGGAGAGGAACCCACACAAGAGACAGGGACAGCGCAGCAGTTTTTCATCAGTCTTGCCCGAGGAAAAAAAGGACGTTGTTTTTTTTCTTTGAGACGGGATTTTTTTTTCTTTAGTTTTTCTATCCTCCAGAGAGAGGCCTTTGTTTTACTCTTGTCTTCGGCTTTTAGTTTTTTTTTTTTTACTTTTAGAATTTATTGACTTCGTCTGAAAAGCCAGAGCAAGTTTGTCCACGCCCTGGCCAGCCTACCCTCGCCTCATAGAACTGTCTAAGGAGTGTAGACTCCGACAGTACCTAACTTATCTGTCAGGGCCCGCTTCCTCTCTATCCGTTATTCCAGTCCTCATCCCACATATCGCTTACACGTGACCCAAACCAATAGCAAACACAATCAATGGATTCTCCAAGCCACTAGATTCTTCCTTACTTCGGCTTCTTATCCTTCCACGGTTTGTCGCATATACTCATCAATTGTCGCTAACTTTCGTTTTTTTTTGGGGAGGTGTATTTCTTGGCACCTCCCTCATTTCCCTTCGCTAGGACCCCTGTTATCCCCGTGTTTTTTCACAATCACCGTCAGCAATCATTCACACCACACACTCCTAGAATCCAGGGAGTGTAATGTCACACAAGTGTTTGAGATGTGCTCCGTGTGGTGCCTTCAATCACAGAGGTGTCCGGCATTATCAGGTCCTATTATGAAGCAGGTTGCTCATTGATGATATTTACCACCTCAAAGCAACAGAATCCGCTTCTGCTCAATTTAGTTCACAATGGCAAGCCTTCCGAACATGGGGGGTGGTTTTTTGTTCACATGAGTATTGACAATACTACAATGCTACGGCACCCAACATCAAGGCAAGGGTATCAAGCTGACTTTCAGTACCAGGCCCATTTT